AACAAAAAAGATGTAGCCAATATTTACGTGCGGCTGGAAGAAGTACCGGCCTGGCTTAAAAAAAGTTTACCGCTGGCCGAACTTGGTTTTTTGAAGAAGACCGGGAAGTGGGCTGAACTGGATCTGCAGATCTACAATAAAGAACTGCTTATGAATGGCATTGTGCTGCTTCCCGCTGAGGAAGGTTTTTTTACACAGGCTTTTCACGGTACCCCACCGCAACAACCTGAAGCAGCTGAAATTATACCGGCCGGAGCCGGACTTTGGCTTTCCTATTCTTTTGCCAATGCCGAGGAATACCAACGCAATTATGAAGAGTACCTTAAGGCTTCGGAAAACTTTAAACGGCACGAACAGCAATTAGCTACTTTACCAGCCGGAGCCAAAGCTGCCGTGCTCAATTGGGTAGATACGGAAATGGGGCTAATCTATACAGATGCAGCCGTAAAGAGCAACTTTCGCATGGCTTATTTCAAACACCGGAAGCGCTCTTTGGCAGAAGAAACTCTTACAGCCGTAACCGACTCTTCCTATATTGAAGGTTACCGGGGCCTGATCCTTAAAAAACTGGTATATGAAAACCTTTTATCCAAAGTGTACGGTCGCCTGTTTAAGGGATTGCACAAGCCTTATTATACCGTAATGGATGATTTTGTGGTATTCAGTGAAAGTGAAGCCGCCCTCAAGGGTCTCATCAACGATCTTTTGGCTGGCAAAACACTGGCTGCTGAGGAAAGCTACCAGGAGTTTATTTCAAAGGTGCCTTCCAAATCACATATCCGGATTATTGCCGCCAACCCGCTTTTCCTCGATCTGATGATGGGAAAAGTAGAGGGAGCTGATGCACAGACCATAGACAAATCACGGGAGGTCCTGAACAACTACCGCTGGGCCTCATTGCAGTTAAACGTGGAAGGCGATGCGGCTTTTGTGAATTTCTACCTGCTGAACGAACCTAAAACTGAAGAAGAGGTAAGCCGCCAATGGGCCACTGTATTGGAGAGTCCTGCTCAAACCGCGCCTCAGCTGGTACTGAACCACATCAATAAAAAACACGAGGTGATCATTCAGGATATGGATAACCGCCTGTACCTGGTGGATGGCAACGGTAAGATCCTGTGGACTAAAATGATGGACGGGCCGCTACTGGGACCGGTTACGCAGGTAGATCTCTTTAAGAACAACAAACTACAGATGGTGTGCAACACCGCGCAAAGCCTTTATGTGATAGACCGCCTGGGGCGTGATGTAGAGAAATTTCCGGTGAAATTACCCGCGCGGGCTACCGCCAGCGCAGGTGTATTTAATTACGATCGGGCCCGTAATTACCGCTTTGTGATTCCGGCCGGGCCAAAGCTTTTAAACTATGATAAAGACGGAAAACCCGTAAATGGCTGGGCTTTCAAAAAAGCAGATAGTGATCTTATCAGCCGCCCGCAGCTCTTTACCATTAACCGTAAGGATGTTATTGTATGCCTGAGCCAGAAGGGTTCGCTTTACCTGCTGAACAGGCGTGGTGAAGAACGCTTTAAGACCATCACCGGACTGGATCATCTTAAGCCTCCCTTTTATTGGCGTGAAGGAGATCAGTTAAAGGAATCCGAATTGCTTTCACGGAATCAAAAGGGCGAGATGGTGGCCATTGGTTTGAACGGAACGGTGGATGCCATTTACCTGGACGAAAGCAATCCCGCTGAACAGTTCCTCTACTTTGATGATAAGTACATTTTTACGCATGAAGACCAGGTATTTGTGAAAAGCGATGAAAACCCGTGGCAGGCCGGGACAGAATCGGATATCTCCGCACCACCCAAGGTCATGATCTTCCGCAGGGAGTTTTACGTAGGCACCTACAGTGCGGATGCCGAACAGGTGATGTTATTTGATAAAGATGGACAACTGATCAAGGGCTTCCCGGTGTTTGCCCAGGCTCCTTTTGATATGGGCTCCTTGCGACAGGATGGCTCTATCAATATTATAACCTCTACCGAAGATGGTACGTTGATCTGTTACAGAGTCAATTAAATGAAAAAAGTTGTTTACACCAAAGACTGGTTATTTGTGGTGGTTTGTATTCACCAGGCTATGGCTCTTATCTCTTCATGTGTCACGCTATTTCTTTCGGGATTGAGTTTTAGCGGAGTGATCGCCTTAGTTTTGAGTCTGCTCATTTCAACGGCTGTGTTCATGAAACTAAGTACATCAAGACCCATTATGCTGTTCTTATTTGCATTTGCCGTATTTGCCCTGATTACTCAAATGACCCTTGGCGTTGGTTCTCCCGATCTGATATCAGTGGTTATATCCTCCGCTCTCACGGTATTTTACCTGTTTCTTTTGGTTTCGGTTACCAAGTATACCTATAAAGAAAAGGGTGTGAAAAAGATTGGAACCGGCAAGTAAACCGCCTCGGTTTTTTCACTCTATACAGCTAAAAGAAAATAGGTTACAATCGACAAACCCATGATTTTGGTTTGGAGTAAAAGGCTTTAATGAGTCCTGGGTGAACAGATATCTGGTTTCCAGTAATTGAAGAGTATCTTTCCGCTCCAATCTTAGCATACCATTTTCAAGTCTCCAATCTCCTTCAACCAAACCAAAATTCTGACTGCACCCATAAAAATGAAATCTATAGGTATGGTCTTTCATTAAAACCAGAAAGTTTTGTGCAAATCCATACCCACTACAATAAGAACGATAAACCTGTGTCTCCTGATACTTCCCACTATAATGAAGCATAACAGCCATTATGATGGAAAGTAGGGTAAGCATCCCTGTTAAGGGAATCATATATTCCCGATTTGACTTTTTTCTCCACAAGGACTTTCTATGTTGCATAGATCATTTAGCCTTAGAGGTATATCACCGCAACTCCAGCTCCATACCTGCCACCGGCTCCTGATCATCTTTAAGCTTATTCCGTTTACGCAGGTATTTCATCTTCACCCCGTACTGCTGGGAAATACTATATAGTGTTTCGCCTTTCTTCACGGTATGCACTTCAAAATCGCGAAAAGCTTTTTTGCGCTTGGGCTGGAGGTAGATGCGCTGACCTTTTTTAAGCGCCACATCCTCATCCAGTTCATTGTATTTTTTCAAACGTTTTACGGAGACGTCCACTTGTTCAGAGATGCTTTCAAATGAATCGCCTTCTTTGGCGGTAACGTACTCCACGTAGTTTTTAGAAACGTTTACCTGGTAGCTTTTCAACTCCTCCCCGGCCGGTATCTCCGGTTCATTTTTCGTGATCTCCTCTACATCCACCTTAAAACCTTTCAGGTCGTATTTATGCAGCTCGTAGCGTTCAATAAGGTCAATGAGCAGGGTTGGGTATTTACGGTTGGTGGCGTAGCCTGCTTTCTTTAAACCACGTGCCCACGCCCTATAATCCGTAGGGTCTTCCTTAAAAAGAAAGGCATAACGTGAACGGTTCTTCAGGAAAAGAGAATGATCACGGAAACTCTCATCCGGATCTTTATAAGCCCGGAAACATTCGTTCTTTTCATCATCATCGTGATATACCCGTTTGCCGTCCCAGTCCAGGTGGCATTTAATACCAAAATGGTTATTGGCCCGTTTGGCCAGGTAACTTTGCCCGCTGCCCGATTCCAGTATACCCTGCGCCAGGGTAATGCTGGCCGGCACTCCGAATTTCTTCATTTCACGGATCGCCACATCCCGGTACTGGTCAATGTAGCTAATGGTAACGGACTCTTCTCCCCCGGCAACAACCGAAAGGCCCAGCAACATCAATAATCCAAAAAGTTTAGTCTTCATATTGCAATGTGTTTCCCGACTTTTTCAAACGTTCGTTCATGCCTTTTATTCCCTGCAGCCCCCCGGTATGAATGGCTATAATCTTTGTTCCCGGCTTCCATTTTTCTTTTTCAAGGCCTTCCATAATACCAAACATCATTTTACCCGTATACACCGGATCCAGCGGAATACCGTACCGGCTATAAAAAGTATTCATAAAATGGATGAGCTCAGGCTTTACTTTTCCGTAGCCACCAAAGTGGTAATCTTCTTCAATAAAAAGACGTTCCATCCACACTTTTTTTCCATGCTCTTTTGTTGAAAATACACCTTGATAGTCAGCGAGGTGCGCATCAATGGCGCGTTTCAGGAAAATACCGCCCTTCAGAGCTGGATATAACTCATATTGGGCCGGGTAATCTGAGGTAAGCATCCCGGCCATGGTGGTTCCGGTGCCTCCCGCACAACAGATCACGTCAAAGCCTTCCGGCAACTCCTCTATAATGGCGGCACAGCCTTTCATGCCCAACACACCTTTTCCTCCTTCGGGTATCAGGTATACTTCCGGCAAGGTTTCCGCCATTCTTTCCAAAAACTCCGGGTCATCCTTAGTATCGTAGCGCTTGCGCGAAACAGGCTCGATCTCCATACCACATTCCCGACAGAAGTCCAGGGTAGGATTGTTTTGCACCTCTTCTCCCCTAACCAATGCCCTGGTAGGAATACCCGTCATCTTACCGAGTGCGGCAGTAGCGGCCAGGTGATTGGAAAAAGCTCCGCCAAAGGTGAGGATCACTGCTTTGCCGCTCTTCCGGAAATCCTGCAGGTAATACCTGAGCTTGCGCCATTTGTTGCCACTTACTTCGGGGTGAATACGGTCATCGCGCTTCATCCATAACTCCACATTATGGATAGTATCGATATGCTCCAGTGGAGAGTTAAGGGGATCGAAAGTTTTCACCTTGCAAAAATGATGAAAGCAAATGCTATTTCGAAAAGGCCAGTTCACAAAGTGTTTAGTTTTAGTATTTAGAGTTTTAGCGATTCTGGTTTCAACTCCACGTTGTTTAGCTTTGCAGCATGCCCGAACTGGAAAAAGGAGATTACTACTACAGCGATGAAGGTTGCATTGTATTTACCCGGCAGTACCACCTGAAACGTGGCCACTGCTGCCAAAGCGGCTGCAAGCATTGCCCTTACGGCTACGATAAAAAGACCAATACATTTAAAAAAAGATAAAGCGCATGGAAACGGTTACCCGCACATTCAAAGAGCAGATAGCAGAAGGAATTCCAACCCGGCTGCCCGCCCCTAAGGCTTATGACCCCGATACCAACCACGCTCCTAAACGCAAAGACATACTGAGCAAAGAGGAAAAGGTATTGGCCCTGCAGAACGCTCTGCGCTATTTTCCGCAGCCATGGCACCATGAACTGGCCGCAGAATTTGCGCAGGAACTGAAGGATTACGGGCGTATTTATATGTACCGTTTTCGCCCGGATTATGATATCTACGCCCGCCCCATTTCGGAATACCCCGGAAATTCAGAACAGGCCAAAGCCATTATGCTGATGATCCAAAACAACCTGGACCCGGCCGTGGCGCAACATCCGCATGAACTTATTACCTACGGGGGCAATGGAGCGGTATTCCAGAACTGGGCACAGTACCGCATTACCATGCAGTACCTGGCGGAAATGACCGATGAGCAGAGCCTGCATATGTACAGCGGGCATCCTATGGGCTTATTCCCTTCGCACAAAGACGCTCCCCGCGTGGTGGTCACCAACGGAATGATGATCCCCAACTACTCCCAACCGGACGACTGGGAAAAATACAATGCCCTGGGTGTAACGCAATACGGACAAATGACGGCCGGAAGCTATATGTATATCGGTCCGCAGGGTATTGTGCACGGCACCACCATTACCGTATTGAACGCCCTGCGTAAAGTGGGTAAGCAACCCCATAGCGGGGCTCTCTTTGTTACAGCCGGACTGGGCGGTATGAGCGGAGCACAGCCCAAGGCCGGGAACATTGCTGGGTGCATTTCTGTAACCGCAGAGGTAAACCCCAAAGCCTCCCGCAAACGCTATGAGCAAGGCTGGGTGGATGAGATCACTGCCGACCTGAACGAACTGGTGGAGCGCGTGCGCCAGGCCCGAAAGAATAAAGAAACGGTTTCCATTGCCTATGAGGGTAATGTGGTGGATGTATGGGAGCGCTTTGATGCCGAAGACATTTACATTGACCTGGGTTCCGACCAAACTTCCCTGCACAACCCCTGGGCGGGAGGCTATTACCCGGCCGGTCTCAGCTACGAAGACGCCAACGTAATGATGGCGAATGACCCGGACCGCTTTAAAGAACTGGTGCAGGAAACCCTGCGCAGGCATGCCGATGCCGTGAATAAACACACCGCCAAAGGCACCTACTTCTTTGATTATGGCAACGCTTTCCTTTTGGAAGCCAGCCGTGCCGGAGCGGATATCATGAACCCCGAACCCACCCTGGGCCGTGAGTTCAAATACCCCAGCTACGTGCAGGACATCATGGGCCCCATGTGTTTCGACTATGGCTTCGGACCCTTCCGTTGGGTATGTGCTTCCGGCAAGCCGGAGGACCTGGCCTATACCGACCAGCTGGCTTCAGAAGTACTCTCCGAAATGGCGGCCTCCGCACCGGATGAGATCCGCCAGCAGATGGAAGACAACATCCGCTGGATTAAAGCAGCCGGAGAAAATAAAATGGTGGTGGGCTCCCAGGCCCGCATCCTCTATGCAGACTCAGAAGGGCGCATTAAGATAGCGCAGGCCTTTAACGAAGCCATTAAAGCCGGAAAGATCGGTGCCGTGGTATTGGGCCGCGACCACCACGATGTAAGTGGCACGGACTCCCCTTACCGCGAAACTTCTAACATTTACGATGGCTCCCGCTTTACGGCCGATATGGCCATACAAAACGTGATTGGCGACAGCTTCAGAGGCGCCACTTGGGTAAGCATCCACAACGGTGGCGGTGTAGGCTGGGGCGAAGTGATAAACGGGGGCTTCGGTATGCTGCTGGACGGCAGTGAAGATGCCAGCCGCAGGCTGCAAAGCATGCTGCTCTACGATGTAAACAACGGCATTGCCCGCAGGAGCTGGGCCCGCAATGAACCGGCCCTTTTTGCTATTAAACGCGAAATGGAACGTACACCGGGTTTGAAAGTAACACTGCCGGAGGTGGTGGAGGGGGATTTGGGTGATTTGGTTTGATGATAATATAGAGGCGCGAGGATATATGAGCAAGTTTAAACCCACAGGTAATGCTAACAACACAGAAATAGTGTATAAGGATCAACTTACATATTTACTTCTGGTTCTTTTGCAGGCTGCTGGGCGTGACGTTCAATATGCGGCTAACTTTGAGAAAGCTTATAAAAAACGTTTGAAATTTCAAAGACAAACAGATTGGAGACGATATAGGGCCTGCGTTGATCTCATTGAAGATACCGAACAGGCAATTTGTAGTGCTTTCACGTATCAACTTGGGGATTTAAGTAATAATAATACAGATTATGGCGAGATTTATTTACGGTTATATGGGATTCTTAATGCAGTATATCTTCAAATGAATGCCTTTAAGGAAATTGCCAATCTGCTAAATTATCCCGAAAGAGAACAGGTGATGCCTAATTTCAAATCCCTTAAAATTTATAAACTCAGAAACATAGCAGGTGCCCACACGGCTGATTATGAATACGAAAAACAGGAACGAAAGGAATTTAAGAGTATAAGAAAGACCACAAGTTTTAGAATTATACAAGGGTCTTTGGATAAAACAGGAAAGAATATTCAAGCTTTGGATGAAAATAACACAATGCTAGAATTTAATTTGTTAAGCCTTCTGACAGAATACGAATCCCTAGCTACCAAACTATTGATGGGTTTGATTTTCCATATAAAGGAAAGCCTTTTATTAAAAAAAGAAGATAAGATGTGGATGCAGGATAGACTAGATGAAATTCTTCCAAATCTAATTGACTATTCAACTGTGGACATGAACAGAGACTATTATTCTAATCTTATTAAGAAGTTACAGCAAGAATTAAATACCTATAATAAATAGAAAGTACTTTCTACTGGCTGGTGAGAGCATCTTTGCTCGTGCTATTGTACCACAAAAACTTTACTACCACCATCCTTCGGCTAAGCCTGTCCGAAGTTTAGCGAAGGTCTCGAAATGATAAGATGTATTTCCTCGGCCCGATAGAAATGTCCTGTTGAGTGCCACGCCCTGGCGTGGTGTATCGAAGCATGCATTTCGGAAGAAATACTTAACCGTAAAGCGTAGTATTAGTCCCCTTCTAAGCGTAGTGTACTAGTACGCTTTGGTATCCAGCTAATGCAATAGCTACCGCGCGATTGTATTGCGCGTTTTATCCTAACTAATATGTTTTTTTTGGAATTGTCTACCCTCCGATTGTTCCATTGCCAAGGCTATGTCAACATGCGATCCGCTCAGGATAACCATCCTACCAAATAGCCAGGCTTTCTACTCCTATTTACTTAATCAGGCGCATCATATCCTCACTTATTACGGGCCAAAAATCAACACTTTTATAAGATAAGTTTTTTTAACTTTAACTAACCATTAATTAAAACCTTACATATATGAAAAAGTTATTTCTTTCGCTGATCTTTTCAGCAATCTGCTTTCATGGCTTAAACGCGGCTGTATTTCTTTGCGTCAACTCAGACCCCCTTTTCCCTGAGCCCTGTGAAAGGATTGACCGGGTAAGAATAGACGGAGTATGGCAAGAAGCAAACTGCGAAAATGTTGAAGTACCCGATGGTTGGATTATTGACTGCTGTTGCTAGTTTTAGTATAACTTCAAAAGAAACAGATGTCATGAAAAAGTATATCGCTCTATTATTTATGGCCTCATCATTTGGGGTTTCAGGTAAAGCCGTTGTTTGTAACCCGGACGGTTCCTATTGCAAAGAAGTGTCTAAAGTTCTCATACTGGAACCACGAGGATGGGTGGATGCCTGCTGTGATAATGTTTCCATACCGGCAGGACACAATTGTGAAGATGATTGCACTTTGGCTAAAAAAGAACCAGATTCAAAAACAGAAGATCCTTTCAGCCAGGAACTTCTACCTGCGAACGCCTATATTCTTTTCAATCAAGGCTATAGGGCATGGGTAGTAATTGATGGTGTTCCTGACCCCATGCCGAAGATTGAGATCAGTGTGGAAATAATCCGGGAATATCTGCCTTCTGCCAAAGAAGTTTTTCTCAATACTAAAAATACGCTTCAGCTTGCTTACAATCATGCCGAAGGCGTTGAGATCATAATTCAAAGGCCCCAAAATGATTCAGACCTAAACAATCCAATACTGTTTACGGATTGGGAAAGGTTAAGACAAGCAAAAGTTGAAAATCTCAAAAAAGAAATATTTGATCAATCTATAAGTATTTATCCCAATCCCGCTTCTTCAGACCAGGAAGTGGAACTTAAATTTGGGCAGATCTTTAAGGTAAACCGTGTGGAATTAGCGGATGTTACCGGAAAGATTCTAAAAGTAATTAAAATAGAAGATGACAAATCCGGCTTATTACTTGATTTAAGGGAAATAAAAAAAGAAGTGATATTCGTCCGAATAATCGGAGAAAGGGAACGATTATTTATCAGAAAATTAGTGTTACACAATTAAAGGATTTTATATTATGAAATTTAAAAGCACGCTTTCGGGCGTGTTTTTTTATACCCACTCTAAACTTAGCATCCGCTACGCTTTACTATCATGCACCTGTCCACCATAATACCACGCCCTTAAGGCCTAAGCACCTCGGCCACTTCCTGTGTATAGCACCTGGACATTCCCTTACTTTTATGAGATTAAATAGGCTTTTTGCGGAAGTTGGTATATTGAAAAATCAAACAACTAAAAAGTGTTTAACCTATGAATTCCTTTTTCAAATTTTCAATTGTACTATGTACCCTACTGATGTCCGGTCAAATGTTCGCACAGCAGGATTACGCTTGTCAGTCAGCCTTAAAAAGATGCCCGGCTGATGCTGATAAAATAGAAAAATTGCTCTGGAGTGATGATGCCTTAGACCGGGTTCATGCCAGTCGTTGCCAGGAAATATTAAGTAAAGTACAGGATGGCGATATTATAATTCAGGAATGCGATAACCCAGGCACTCTGAAAAAGATTCAAAAATCGCTGGGAAATTTAAAAGACAAATTCAAAGACTGGAGCAGTGGAACTTGTTCTAAAAGCTCATTGTGCAGGGAGATTGATGAGGCCTACGAAGAGTGGTTTGATTAGTCCCTGCGAGACGTAGCGAACGTTCCCCCCGCTAGCGCGAGCGTCACGCTCGTGCTACACTTTAACCTCCATCCTTCCACTTTACTTCGTCAAGCTCAGCACAGGCGCTCAGGATGACCATTTAATTTTCCCTGACATAGGGAAAGGGCCTTTCGGAGGTGAGTATAGAAATCAAGTTCAGGTCTTTCGATAGCATGAGAAATCCTGAAGTTGAGCGCAGCGAACGGCTTGGATTTCGGGAGAAAGGCCAGAACGTAGTATTTCAGCGAACCTCAGGGAAGCCTTGAATTTTTCTTGGTTCTTCTTTGGTTTCAAGACAAAAGAAGAACATCAATCTTGTAAGCTATGCGTCCTGGCCATGCTATGAACACCAAAGTTCCTTACCTGCCTACCTTAACTGTCCCCCCCCCGCTAAGCACAGCGTACACCCTTGTACTATTTTGATACCAAAGCCTTACTATTTCCCTCCTTCATCCAAGCCTGTCCTAAATATGGCAAAGGGCTAAGGATGCCAAGGTATTTTATTACCTCAGCCCGATAGAAATGTCATCCTGAGTGCCACGCCAATGGCGTGGTGTATCGAAGCATGCATTTCGGGAGAAATACTTACCCGTAGATTTAGCCCCCGCTAAGCGCAACCTTTACTACGCTTTAATATCATCAAACTCTATCTGCTCTTCACTTTAATCTCTGTTTCACGGCCTAGCTTTGCACTATAAAAAACAGATATGCCCGTCCCCGTTTCGGTATTGGAATTAGCCACCGTAAGTAAAGGAAATACACCCGGAGATGCGATGCGCAACAGCTTAAAGCTGGCTAAAGCCACAGAAGAGCTGGGGTACTATCGCTTCTGGCTGGCCGAGCATCATAATATGATCAGCATTGCCAGCATGGCCACCTCAGTGCTGATCGGTTATATAGCCGCAGGAACCCAAAAAATACGAGTAGGCTCAGGAGGTATTATGTTACCCAACCACTCTCCGCTTATTGTGGCCGAACAATTCGGAACTTTAGGAGCTCTGTATCCCAATCGCATTGACCTGGGCTTAGGCCGTGCGCCTGGTACCGACCAGCTTACCGCACAGGCTATCCGCCCGGACCGTATGCAGGCGCAACACAGCTTTCCGCAGGATATTGAACTTATACAAAAATACTTTTCGGCAGATAACACCGGTGCACCGGTACGGGCTACGGTGGCAGAGGGAATTGATGTACCCATCTGGATACTGGGCTCAAGTACCGACAGTGCACAGCTGGCAGCCGCCAAAGGTTTGCCCTACGCCTTTGCCAGTCATTTTGCTCCGGGACAACTGATGGAAGCCCTGAGCATTTACCACAATAACTTTGAACCCTCTGCTTACCTAAAGGAACCCTACACCATGGCCGCTGTAAATGTTATTGCTGCCGATAGCCACGAAGAGGCCGAAGCACTTTCCACCTCACTGATCAGAATGTTTTTAGGTATTTTAACCAATAAGCGTGATTATATGCAGCCTCCTGCCCCTATGACGGAGGAGCTGAGGGAGCTTAGTATGAATCCCCATTTCCAGCGCATGCTGAAATACAGCTTTATCGGCACTAAAGCCACGGTGGCTGAAAAAACCCGCGAGTTTCTGAAAGCCACACAGGTGAATGAGCTAATGGTGGTTTCCAATATGTACCATGTGGAGGACCGGATTAAATCGTACCGTTATTTTGCGGAGATCATGAATTCATGATGCGCAATGGCGCAGCCCGGCCTGAACCGTATTAACTACTAAACAAAACGGATAAGAAAAACTCCCCGGAGTTTTAGAAAACCCTTCCTGATGTTTTGGAGAAAACTCTGAGGAGTTTTAGCCAATGGAACAGGAAGTTTCAGGCCACGAAACAGGGGGTTTTGGCACATTTATTAGCAGAAAGACATTTAAAAAAGCACTGCGTTTAACAAAAC